TCATTTTCATTTTTATTTAATAATTATAATTTTAATAAAGAAATTATTTAAAATCTCAAATTATTAAAATAAATAATAATATTTTACTATTATGTTTGCTATATTTAATTCTGTTTAATTATTGAAACAGAATAGTTCTAGTTTTTATAATATAAAAACTTTATTACAATTTATAATTTTATTTAAATTTATTATAAAGAATAGAATCTTTAAAAATTATTAAGTATTACTACTAAGATGTAACAGCTTAGTGAAGTGAATAAGTTGTCAATTTTTCAAGTAGTAGATTAGATATTCAAATTTTATTAATAATGAAAATTTAAATAACTATCTAAATAATACTTATATTCTAATAACTGTTTCTAACAATTAGATTAAATTACTTATAATGATGATTATACTAACATGATTAGTAGGTTATAAGATATCTGTATAACTAGTTATATAGAAAAATGCAAATTAATATCAGGTAATGCAAACTCTCGATAAGTTCTTGTAATTGTATAAATTTATTAAAAATGTAATATAGATCTTTGACAACACTATTATAAAAACTAAAATATTGAAAAAAATACCAATATCAAGTATTTGAACAAATAAAAACCTCTGGATTAGAAGTTTCAGAGATATTAACAACTAGAATACTAGTATGTACTAAAAAAATAAGGATATTGATCTAACTCAATATATCAATAAACTGGTTATTGTTTTATATAAACTATCTGAATTGAGAGTTTAAAGAACAAACAGAAATATATTAATGTTCTAGAAATATACTGTGAAGTAGATACTAGAATTCAGTAAACTCTACAAGAACATAATGATTAATGATAAAACTCTTACTACAAGTTTTGGTTCTGCTATAGTAATATTAAATTAGTTGTAAAAATAAATATAGAAGACTTCAAATGATTATCTTACAAATAAAATAGTCTTAAGGCTAAAATGATGATCTGAACATAACTCAGTAATGTTAATACAAGTGCAGATTTAGAAGGTTTTAAATAGAATACTAAGCAAAGGTGTTAGATATAGCAATTGGTGAGAAACCTTTGGATGAACTTCTAAAATATGTAATGTAAAAAAATTACACATGTAACCAATTGTATACTCTTCTTATAATAGTTCACAAGAATCATATTTTCAAAAAAGTCATTAATAAAAATCAAAAGACCAAAGAGATCACCTTAACAATAAAAAAATTAAGTATGCCTCTTCCATCTTTCATCTACCAAAATCCCTCACTGCTAAATATATTTTGAAAAATAATGCTTTATATAAATTAAATTTAAAATCCAGAATTAAAAATTGAGAAAGAATAACTTGGTAAATTTATATTTTAAATATTAATATTTTAGATCTAGAATAAATCATTAATATAAATTTATATATCAGCAAAAAAAATTTTACATTAAGTTATAAATTTAGGTTCTTACTAGTGATTTGTTAGGTTAATAAAAGTTTTTTATATTTTGTCACAAAAACTTCGTTTAATTACCAATAAGAAATTAGATACACAATTTACTATGAAAAAAATTTCCTCTTAAAAACCTATAATCTAAAAATTTTAAACTAGATCTAGGAATTTTTACAGGCAATTGCGAAGATTGAGAATCTTCAAGATGCAAAATTTCTAATAAAACAAGTAATTTTGACAAAATAAAAAAATTATTATTACTTTCCATAAATAATACTCGGTTTTCGAACATACTAGTAATAATTTATTAAGGAAGAAAAGGAGAAAGTTGTAATTGACTGGATGTAATTTTGCAAGAAGTTATGAAGAAATTGACACTGAAGAGCCAGAAAGACTTTATAAGAGAAGGAAGGAATTGAATTATTAAAAGTAGTTTTAAACGCATCTATTTAGAAGTTTAAAAGGTGTTACAATATGCATGTGATACACGTACGTATGTAATTGCATTAAAAGACATAAATAACGTTACGCAATGCAATACCGCATATCTTTAATATATTTGCAACATATTCTTACGCTACGGCAAAATGTCAAATTCAAAACAACCAGAAAAAATCGACAACCCATTAAAGGTTACTAAAATATCCAATGAAATTAATCAACTGTGTTTAGAAGATAAGTCTCAGGATTTTCTCAACGAAATTATTAAAGAAATGTATAATTTGTATAATGAAGAATTAATGAAAGATAGACAGTTTAGTTCAATTATTGACGCCTTAGAACAATTTTTAATAAAAAAAAAGCAAAATTCAGATGATATTGTTAAATATTGTTTAGATAATCAATTTGATCCTATAGTTCAATTCATTCTTGCAACTTTCTATCGTTATGGTAAATGGGTTGAAAAGGATGAACATAAGGCATTTATTTATTATCAAAAATCTGCTGAGATGGAGGATGCTAATGGAGTATATCGTGTTGGATATTGTTATCGAAATGGAATCGGAGTTGAAAAGGATGAACATAAGGCATTCATTTATTATCAAAACTCTGCAGAGATGGGGAACGCCGTTGGAACATGTACTGTTGGATATTGTTATGATAAAGGAATTGGAGTTGAAAAGGATGAACATAAGGCATTCATTTATCATCAAAAATCTGCAGAGATGAAGCTCGCAAAAGGAGCATATAATGTTGGAAGTTGTTATTACAATGGAAATGGAGTTAAAAAGGATGAACGAAAGGCTTTTGAATATTTATTAAAAAGTGCCGAATATGGATATTGTTGTGGAATGTATCATGTTGGTTTGTTTTATCAAGATGGGATTGGCGTAGAAAAGAATAAAGATTTGGCATTTGAATGGTATTTAAAATCTGCAGTTACTGAGCATGACTGTTATTATGGTCGTAACTATTTCCAATGGATAGAATATGATAATTTTAGAAACGTTGAAGAAGTTGGTAAAGGTGGATTTTCTGTAGTGTATAAAACATCATATAAAAGACAATATGGAACGCATGAAGAAGTTGCAATCAAAATAATAAAAGATTCGAATAAAGATAAACAACTTTTTTTAAACGAGGTATTTTATTTTTTAAATCATTGTTTATTAATTATAAATTAATTGAGTATAAATTGAATATTTTTTAGTTAAAGGCGTATCACTCATTTGGGAAATATAAAGGCATATCAATGGACAAAAATACAGGAGATCTTATTTTAGTATTAAGTTACGCAAAATTTGGATCATTACGTGACAATCTTAACGATATATTTAAATCGGAGTGGAAAACCAAACTTAAAATATTATGCGATATCATTAATGATCTATCATATATTCATTCTAAAAACTTTATACATCGAAATTTAAATTCTGGTAATATTTTATTAAAAGAACGATATGAAGCTTATATTGATTTAGGTTCATCAATATCGGTTGACGAAAAACAAGATAGTCATATTTATGGTGTTTTGCCATATTTAGCACCTGAGGTCTTGAAAGGTGAACATTTCACTCAAGCCGCTGATATTTACAGTTTTGGAATTATTATGATAGAAATATTAAGTGGTCGAAGACCTTTCGATGGTTACAATTTTGATGCTGAATTGGCGGCTATGATTTGTCATGGATTACGGCCTGAGTTTATTATAAAGACACCAAAATGTTATGTTCAATTAGCCAAACAATGTACTAATTCAGATATAAAAAAAAGACCCACGGCTGTTGAGATTATTAATAAACTTGAAAATTGGAAAGACATTATATTTGCTAATGATAGTAATGTTAAATCAGATATGAAAAAAGGATCTACAACTTTTGGGATTTTTAACAAACTTAAAAAATGGAAAAAATCTATAGTCATCAATGACAGTAATGTTATATTAGACAAACAATGTATTGATTCGGATGAAGAGATCAAACAGCAATTTTTAGATGCTGATAAATCAATCAAAGACTTGCCAATGGCCTCTCAAAAACATGATAATATGATGTATACTTCTAAACTTATTGATACGAAAGAAATCGTTTCAGAGGTTGAAAATTTTAGAATGAATTAATATTATTGATAGAATTTAATTAAGATTTTATAAATAATAAGATTAAATCAATAACAGGATTAAATGATATATTGTATATTGAGTGTGTAACTTATTTGTAAAAATAATTTCAAATTTGGTGATAATTATTATGTAAGAAAAAAATAAAAAATCGTTAATATTACAAAATTTTATTAGGAAACTGATTTTTTATATTGGTTGGAAACCGATTCGTTGGATAGGATACAATGGGACGGGTGTTTTGATATCGATCAAAAGGTGATGCAACTATAGGTGATGCTGTAAAGGGTGATGATCTTGAAGACTGTGATGAAGATTTGATGATATATTATGGTCGCGTGACTAATCAATAAAGATGTTCTCTTTACTGCCGTTTCTGCAGGTACCGTGAATGACAATATTCAATTCCGCTATCGGTCGTTTATAATTCTATTTAACTGTTCACTATACTATCATTTGAGTCTTAATAAGCCAAAGCGATGTTACAAGTCAATTCAGTCCGTCGAATTGAGTCTCGAAAGATTTATTAAAGTTACAAGTCGAATTCAAGAGATGATTCACAATGAAAATTTCAATAAGCATTTACTTTTATTTACTTAAGATAAAGAACGAAAAAGATAATTTTTCTTTATTGATCTTTCGGTCTTCAAATACATTTTAATTTTACTTTAACGTTTACATGATAACTTGGTTTATACCCAACAAATTGAAGTATAAACCTAAAAAATTTAATAGCCTGGTTTTTTGTGTAATCACGTATACATGAATTTTCCGGTGTTTACGTGATGCATTTGATTTTCATGTATCTAAGCCACTAAGCCACCTTCGATTTCCAAAATAGCATAAGTAATTAAAGACAGTAATACAAGATCGGTTACTGTTGTCGAAATGGAATTGGAGTTAAAAAGAAATCTACATATTTAAAGGAAAAGAAAAGAAATTCTATCTTTATTGGTGCGACGAATAAGTTCCTTCTCTATCAGTAGTTCGCATGAAGGATGTACAGACCAAGATCAAACTATCTCAAGAGGAGGGAGGGGACAATAAAAGTGGCTGTTTCGAAGTTAGCGGTGATCGAGTTCGTTGCAAGTTTGAAGAAATAGAATGTCCTAAAGCATTTCCAAAACCTTGTATAAACACCACTGCGGTGGATTTACCTTTATTTAAATACCCTAAATACATAAGAATGACCATATTTTAATTTCAATTTATATAAAGATCTCTAAAAAGTAACGCTACCAAATTAGATTTGGGGTGTTATCAAGCTTTAACCTCGATGTGATTGGCTCGCGATCTTAATCGTGCACAACTATAATTATATTTACGTATAATGAAACGAATAAGCAAATTAAGAAGTAATTAAAGTTTGCTCAAACATTATTCTTTATGCGATTAGCTTATAAACGTGATGATGCTCATTTACTATAATCAATCAAAATAAGAATTGCAATTGATGCTTGAGCGATACACTGTTTATTTCGTTTATATTCGATCGTTGCATGATAAGGTTACTGATAAAGTTTCTTGTGCGATCTCATTGAAAACGCAATTAATTGTGGTCTGCCATAAAATGTTTATAAATTGAAATGATAAACACACGTATTATCTTTTGATTAATAAAAAATATAATAAACTTTATTAAATTACGATGTTAAACACATTTGATCTCCTTAAAATATTTTCCGCTAAGTAACATTTATTCTCCGACGTTTTTTGTCCCGCTGATTAAGGAACGCCCTTGGTGACTCAACATAAAGATCAAATTTCGCGAATTTATCGCAATGTCTAGAAGGTATCAAATTCTAATATTAATTTACATATATAATATATCTAAATAGAATTCATTAATGCTATCTTTCCAATATTATTCATAATAATTATTCATCACGAATTTTGAAGGCATATATTTGCGTGATATCACATAAATAATAATATATTATGGTTTGGTATAAATTTATGTTATTATAAAATTAGTTAACAATTCATATAAGGAATGATCTTTATAAATATTAATGCAAATATAAATAAATATAATGTAATTATTATTATCGTCATTGATAAAATACGCAATTATTGTAAGTATTATTATTATCTCTATTGATAAATTGCACGATACGTAATTATTCTCAGTAGTTCAACACATTGCTGTTCATAGGCAGAAGTTTGTCTGATTGCCTAAAAAATTAAATTTAATTTTACATTATTTATACAGCTTTAGAGTACTTTTTAAAAAACGAAAACTAATCCGAATGAAATAAAAAAGCCATATAAAAGGTTTCATTAGAGCTTTAGGACTCCATAGCCAAAAATAAGAACTAATTCTCATCCTTTTAAAAAAGCTAGTATAGTAATAACTTCTCAAACCCCTATAAAATCAATTTATTACTAAGTCAATTTTTTTAAGCGGACGATAATTAGATCTTATTTTTGACTACGGAGTCCTACAGCTCTAATGATACCTTCTATATGGTTTTTTTTATACTTTATTATGGTTTGTTTTCATTTTGTAAAAAGTACTCTAAACTGCATAAATAATGTAAAATTTAATTGAGTTGACTGGCCAATCAGACGAACTTCTGTCTATGACATTGCTGTTGTCAGAGGTAAAACCGACACCTCATAGAACCTGCGAAATGGACGTCATTGTGGCATACTTACCTAATTAGAGTTG